ACAGCATTGAAGGGAGTTTAAGAGCCTGCAGCCTCTCAGAGTTTAGAGAACTAAATTTCTGCAGTAACAGAAAACCTGATATCTATGAAACTGTGTTTCTAGGCTCCCAGCAAGCCATGTGGCACCTACTGATAGGCTGCCATAAAATACTTAATGGCTGTATAATAGCTCAGATAAAGAAAAGGTGCTCCATTTTGTCTATTGCTCTATGGAAATTTGCTGAGACCACACACACAATGTGCAGTGCTGTCACATAAGAAAGCACTTCCATTGTTTTCCTCTGGTCCCACTCAAAAAAGGCAGTTAACAAAATTTTAATTTTACCCTTAACAATAAAAGAGAACAATCCTAAAGAAAGAGAAATTATCTCAGCTAGATAGGCTAGCTGCTGTTTTAAACAAGAGGTGCTACTGAACACATAGCACATCAGCCTATGGGATGCTCAGCCTCTTCTACAATGCAGCACACGCACACCCTCCTTCCCCTCTTCTCTACCAAGGAGCATCGTGCACATGTACTGTCAGACCATGGAGCAAATTGTGTTTGCGCTCACCCAGACACCAAGACTCCTATTTCCATTGCTCATGAATAGATCATACTAGAGAAAAAGTGGTTTCCGCACCCTTCTCAGCAAGAAGTGGACAAAATTTATAGAATTGTAGAACAGTTTTGGTTGGAAGACATCTTCAAGATCACTGAGTCCAACCTTTGTCCTAGCTCTACCAACACCACTAAACCATGTCCCTAAGTACAACATCTACCTGTCTTTTAAGCACCTCCAGGGATGGTGACTCTACCACCTCCCTGGGCAGGCTGCTCCAATGCCTGACAACCCTTTCAGTAACGAAATTCTTCCTAATTTGCTCCAAAATATGCCAATATGTTTTTCAAATTGCATTTTAAAAGTTCTCCTTAAAAACAGAGACATTGCCTCTGATTTACAGATGACCAGCCACTTCTCTATATTTATACTCTGTGCTAACTGCTCTTACAGGAGTGAATTCAAGAGGAGAAGGCCTGAAGAGAGCTTTGGTCTTCTTTCAGCAGTACAGAAACATTGATTAGCAAATGTCCTGGCACCTCTGGCTGTGTAAGCTCAGAATTGAACTGCTGGGAATAGCAGAAGAAAGATCGGTAGTGTAGGAAGTAGAAGACATGTTTGGTAATGCTTTTCTCCCAGTCAGACACTGTCAGGAAAGACAGCTGTTGTATTTGGTAACTATTCCTCACCTAGGGAGCATCATTAACATCATTCTTCTGTTCCTATAGTTTGCCTTCCCTTCAGTCCATAAAAACCAGCGGGGAGAAAGACAGGGTTTTGATGAGCATAGTCTGAGCTACACTTTGTGAAGTGCAGAATGCAAGCTATTTTCACACTATGACTAGGTGCATGATCCACAAAACATTTTATGAACATCATACGCTGGTTGGCCCTTAACTGTACTCCAGTCTGACTGAATTCCAGGAACACGAATATTTCTAGAGAGCATGTTTTAAGCCCAGACTGCCAAATAATTTTGGAAAATAAATATTAGCAGAAAAATAAAACTATAACCAAACTAAATTAATCTTTGTTTTCCAAAATGAAGACAAAACTAAAGAAGCAAAACTTGTCAATACCTTGCAATCTTGAATAAAGAGGATAAAATAATCATGTTTGCAGTGTTTAACATGATAAAAAAGGTAAACTATATGGACTGAAATATGCCCTGTGAATGACTTGTTCATTTTTTGTGTTTTCCTGCTGCTCCTAAGTCCAGATCTCATATATAAGTTCTTCATGAATGGTGACATTCATTAGCAGTTCAATTACAAGATGCTACAGTAAGCCAGTCTTGTGATGCAACTACTTCTCCCTAGGTTTTAGGCTGGAGAAAAGCAATAGTATCTACAAAATTAGAGCCTTCTCAATAGGAAAGCTGTATGACTGTCTGGGTTGGGTAATGAATCCAAACTTTCTTTCAGACTTGTACACATGACAAATGGGGCAAGATAATGATGAAGAAAAGTGAGTAATAATCGTACCCACTAGGTGAGCAATTCCTCTAATTTCCCAGAAGCTACCCGCAGTAGCAAAGGCCACTTGTCTAGTGCGAAAAACAGGGCCTACTTATTTTTTGCAAGTGAAAGGCTGACACTGAGGTTCTAACCATACAAAAATAAAATGCAAAGTAACTTTGGATCACAGAAAGAATCTCATGACAAACTTGCATACTTGTGACACTTATTTTCAAGAAACTACATTCCACACAATGGACAGCAAAATTATTTTCTCTATAGTGCTGCATTATGGCAGAAACATTCGTCTCTGTGGAGCAAACATGAAACTGGCTCTCAGTTGAAGCATTAAAAAAATCTTTGAACAATACTAGAAAACAAAATCATAACGTGCTGTACTTCAAGCTTTAAGATCTTTAAGACACCTGGGTCCTATTTCTTCCTTTGAAACCCGAATGTCAAATACGGTGTAGCTACCAGATGTAAAACTAGATCAGGTGTCACTGAACCTTAGGCAGGTTTTGCTTAGTCAGGAGGGCTGCACTGACCCCAGTAGTCTGTCTCCTGCTTACCCCAAGTCTGCCTCAGGCCCAGAAAAGCAAACTGCTTGCAAGCGTCCTCTCATTAGGTGCAACATAGAATATCACTTACTTGTACGGGATGTGTTTGCTTCCATTGACAAGGGCGAGGATGACATTGCCCAGTGCTGACAACGAGAGACAGAAGCCAGAGCTTCCCTCCCGGTTTTTGCTGAGCACTTTCACACAGCTACCCAGGTCAATAAGGTGCAAGCGGCTGCGACCTCCAGACACTGCCATAAACAAAGAAAGCAAACAGTTAGCATGTGCCTCCAAAAGCAGCTTTCCAGGACAGCAAAAGTCTCGTCACTACTTGTGAAGAGGAAACAATCCAGAAACCTTTCCTAATTCATGTCAGCAGCAGCAAACTGTAGGGGTCCTGTTAACTCACTGTCAGCCTTTTTTGCTGTACTTTGTTGTCTACTCTGGACTAGCTTAAAAATTGCCAAGGTTTTCAGTATTCACTCGCTCCTGCCGGTTTAACTCTATGGGATTCACCACTGCGCTTTTTGCTTTTTTCTTTTTTTTTTTTTTTTTTTTTTAATATAGCTCTATTAGCCTGTACCCAAGTTGGCTCTGCTTCTGCCTCTGCCATTACTGTTCGTCCTGAAAACTACAGGCTGAGCATCGATGCTTGGCAAGGAGTGATTGTGTGATAGTTTCTCTTATCTTTCCCATCTTGAATACTGGATCTTCAGAAGAACCTGTGTCATCTGTGGGATGCTCAACTTTGCTTTAAGTCTATATACTTTTACATTATCATTTGGGCTAAGAAAAGGTTTTCCATGTCACAGGTAATGGATTATGGACAAGCTGCTCTGCTCTGAAAATAGTTTCTATAAAATTGGCAGTAGATCCCTATGTTTTTTTTTTCATTTACTCTGTATGAACGCACTGTATTTAAAGTGAAAAGATGCTACCGTTGAAATATCAAGATTAACAGACATTTTCTGTCTTTAAAAAACTATGATTCCTTATGAACCTAGGATAGAGACTATGTAGACTTTACAGAAGTGCTTCTAATTCTCCATTATCTCAAGACAATTTCCTAGCTGGGTTATTATGCATCTGATCTTTGACCACTTCTCCCTGTTCTCAAGAGCTACTTTAGAAACAATCTGTAGGAAAAGGCAGTTTTATTTCTAGGGTCCTAACTCAAAAGTTAAGACACTATTTGAGGACACAAGCATAACTAAACAGAAGTGGAAATACTTTCACATCTGAGTTTACCTCTATGCAAACAAATTCACAGCCTTTTTGACCTAGCACCTCAACATATGCATCTGTTAAAAAAAGTATTAGCAGATGGAGGAGATCAGTTCACAAGCAAAGATGGCAATGGCAGAAACTAAATGATGGGGACCTTAGAAAAGAAGTTTCCAGATATGTTTCATTGCTTTGGAAACCTCTTATTGGCCACAAGCATGTTTTTTCAATGACCCTGCATTCAGTAGTTGTAGTATCATGCCATGGTATCCAGGCACGTAGGTGCTATAGGAGGTACAAGGAAATAAGTTTATACAGAGATGTGAAGAAGACATTTGTAAAACTTCCACCTATAGACAAGAAGTTGATACACAATCATACAATTTTGCAGATTTGCTCATAGAAAGAAAGTCACGTTTATAAATATAGAAAGCCTAGTGCTACTACAGATATATATACATTATCTGTAACTTAAAACATGTTAACCTACACTGAAAAAATAAGGAGAGAGATATTTCATTTTGCAAGCACTGCAAAACACAGGGCTCACTGCTTAGTTCTACTATCTGGTGGCTTTCATGACACAAAACTTTCTATAAAAACATGAAGCCTTGCTATAGAATGTGTTACGTATAATTCTCTAATTCTGCTTCAATTGTAGGTGATAGCTAATTTAAACGAGTGACAATAGAAGTACAAGTAGATCTTTATGACAAAAGAAAAAAGAAATATGGATAAAGAGAAAGAAGAAAAGAAAATAAAAGAAAAGCAAAGCAGAGAGAAAAAAGAAAGAAGGAAGAAAAGAGAAGAAGAAAGAGGAGAGATTTTATTCTGTGAAAGATTTATGCTATGGGACTTGAGAATAATATCCCAAAAATGTAGCCAGCATCTCCATCAACAGTTGTTAAAATGCAGTGACTTCTACTTCTTTTAAGTCTTGTACTTCTTCAGTTATATCAGGTATTAGGCAACACAGGACTTCCACATATTAAATTATACTATGATATTGATTATGTCATGCTGAGTATCATGAAACAGAAGTGAAGAATAAATGTCTAATCAAAACTAATGCTGGTGGCTGGACTTTCAAAATGCTGTAACAGGCCACAGATTATATGACAACCCATTAAACTGTCCACGGAATTTTCACCACTGTGCTCTCGGTGGTGGGACGTGGTGGGATTTATCTTATGGGGAAGTATCCACACGCACTACGGGCTCCTGCATATGCTGCAGAAAGTCAGTCTTCCCTCGGGAACCATCTAGGCAGCTGCACCTTCACCTCATCTGAACTGCTCATGGAGGAATTTGCCTCCCCTCTAAGAGTTCTTAAAACTCTTGGACCTAAGAGACCCCGAATTCTCTAAGACTGCTACCTTTAGAAGGCTGAAATTACCTTTTTGAGTATCCTCCAATGATTTCTTTAGAAAAACAAAGAAATGTGTTTAGTTGCTACTGAAAAGGACTGCAGTTGACTTTACTGAATTATATATAATAAATATTTCTGTTGCTAAGACTACTAGACATCAGGGAAACAAAAGAAAATGAAAGAAATCCCTACCCTTCAAGATCCCAGTCATATTGTTTCCACACATACTCCTATTATACAGGCTGAGTAAATCCAGAATAAGAAAAATTACTAGATCTTTCCCTGTTATTTAATTTGCAAGTCAATGTAAGACATTTTTAAGATGGCAGATCCACTTGCTTGATCTGAAAATGAAGTTATTGTTAGGCAAGTTCACTAACGTGCCTGGCAACTATAAAGTAAAGAAGCGGAACATCCTAAAGCTCTTTTTTGTCTATGGCCACAGAGACTTTGCGGAGCTGACAGCTGCAAAATGACTGTGCCAGTTCTGCCACAATGTCATTTATTTCAACGGTGCTAAGCCTTGCCTCATGACATTCCTGGTAATGAATGTAACAAGGAGGTAAGTATGGAACCAATGCGTTATTCTAACAGTCATTTTTTACCGAAAATGTATGTTAGCCATCCCTTTAATCTCTTCTCCTTTAGAGGCTGGGTTTTTTTTTTTTTTTTTTTTTTTTTTTCCCTTGCTTTTTCCTATCCTTTTTTAATCCTGTTACAGAAATTTATATATCTCTACTATCTTCATAGGTTTTTTTTCTGAAGTCCTTCATTACAGCAGGAGACAGTGATAATCACTAGGCGCCCTCTCTGAGCAGCTGGAATTCCCCCCTCATTCAATTATCAGTGAGATCTGACCCTGCCTGGCTTGTGAGACTACTCAGATATGGGAACTTGAAGACAGGAGGTGGTATGGCCACAAGAAAAAGATACGACTAGAGGCAGTGTGCAAAGCATGCCATATTATAATCCAACAGGATCATGGCTTCTTTTTAGAAAATGAGTCATTATAGCCACAGGAAAATAATTTTTTCCTTCTTATTAATTTCATTTGAAAATAGTAGAAAAGGACTGTGTGTACATTTACTTGCACGTAATAAAAACATGGAGCATTAAATACTCGTAATAATAATTCCCTAAAAACCAGCCATCTTTATTCCTATGAACCCTTCTGAGCATTCACAGCCTTACTTTCCACCGCAGGGTGGTTAATTAATAAACCTTTATTTAATTGAGATTTCTGCCTCCTAATTCCACAGGGGTTATTATTTAAACACATGGAAACTGAATTTCCATTTAGAGCAACTTTCTGGTTTTCTCTCTTATAAGCACAGTCAATGTAAATTTTCTGCATTCAAACATTAGACTTTAATACTGCAGTGCTGTTCACCCACTACACATCATAGCTTGCAATCTATTCCTTATTACAAATAACCTATGCAGAGCCAGGAGCTGAAACATATGCTACCTCTGCAGAATTGCTTAAGCCCACAAATTTAAAGAAGCAGAGTTCTCTAGTGTCTTTCAAACAAACATTTTCACTGTAAAAAATTATTATTTAAAAAAAAAAGAAATTGAATGTGAACATTTTCTTTTTCAGTGGGGGTCCTTATATTATACAAATCTTTTATCTCTGGCACTTACTACAAAAAAAAATCCTCTGTAGATCTCCAGTTGTAAACAATTTGGGAGACTTGAAACAGAAGATATATATAATAAAAAAAAAAATAAATGGCCCGAGGTTTCAGATTAAACCTTTGAAAATTATGGAAACATATAAGTAGACCTGGAAGCATCTTTTCCTCATTTACAAGTGGGAAATGAAAGTAAAGACACAAGCCAGTCAAAGCGTCTATGGCAAAGAGAGGGAACATGCCAATCTGAAAAGCCCAGAGCCTTTACAAAGAACTGTGAGAGTCCTTTGTGCACAGGTAGTTGGACCAGCAACTGAAATATCATGTATATCCAAGAAAAGGTACAGTTTATGGATTGCCAGTAACAGCATATACACGCTACCCTATTAAAGTGTGGAAGAGGATCAGCTAATGTAAGGGTGGCAAGGAATTCCTGTCACCACAATATTTTAATCCATGACCTCAACGCTATCAGTAAAGACAATACAAAAGCCAAATTTACAAGTACTCTTTTTTTAGATACAGAAGCCCACACAGTGCTGAGGACTAACTGTTAGTATCTCCACAATGGCAACTAAATTGACAAATGATGGCAATAATCCCCAGTGGCCTTTAATGGCCTTTGGTGGGCCTTTACCAGGCAGGTGGACAGTTGGCAGTCTGAATGGCCCCACCTCATGCTGAATGGAGAACTCTGCTAACTTCCACCACTAAAGAATATTGCTTAACGCCATTTTCCAGGCAGGCTTGGAGGAGACAGAAGGAAGTGAGGGACAGCTTACTTCCGCCTTTGCCGCTCTTCTCCATGCGGTACTGGTAGATGTGCAGTGTGAAGAGCATGTGGGAATTGCGGTGATCCTCCTCGTCACAGTCCCGCTGGCTGCTGCGACGTGAGGCAATGGCGGCGTCGAGGAAGAAGGCAGCCTTCTCTGCCGTAGGGGCACGGAGCTCGCTCTGATTCTGAAGCTGCAGTTAACACAAGGGAGAAATGACCTAGAAACTCCCACACAAGTCAACTCTACCAAACAACTTCCCGAAGTCAACACACACTGTGGATATGCTGGCTTCTGATAAGACCAAAAAAGAGGAGGTGCCCAATGGAATGAGACCCTCCCGACACTGGCAGTAACAATGCCACGCCCTCTGGGAGCCCCATGATTGAATCCAGGCTTTTGAGGGTTCTCATTTGGGGCACCTCTGGTACACATAAACTCCAGCAATTGGAAACCGTCCTATGGGCTGGACAGGTGCATAAATTTGTTCCTTCACTTTCCCAGAACTTTAAGCTATTTATGCTTATTAGTTATTCACCATTTCATTATTTTTACTGCCTTCTTTTTCCCTGCATTGCTGGCTCTGGCAATCACTCTGTCCTTCTGATAGTTACAAGTGGAAAAAAAATTGTGGAAGATGCATTGATCCCAAACCCCACAGTTGGCAGAGACTGGCAGGGGCAGGACTATGTGTTATCCTTCAGAAAGTGTTAGAAGGGAGCAGTCCATGAATAAATCTGGGAAATAACAGGACTGAAGCTTGTGTTCAGCGCCATAGCATGTGGGGAGTGACAGAGACAGGACAGAAGAGAAGCCTTTTCCTTGTCCCTTCATATCACAAGTTTATGTACCTGCTCACAAACCAGGGCAGTCCATTAAATGGAACAAGGCAGGTAACACGCATACATTCACATTTGCTGGACCTCAGTCCCTGTCACCGGCGTGCTCTTATTTCTCCAAAGTGATAGACAGCATAGGAGGGCAGACATTATTAACCCCCCATAAAGTTAGGAATGCATGCATGTTTCACAACACCTAAGATTAGTTTGTGGAAAGGACGTGTGACTGCGCAATCTGATGGCATTAGTTTTGGCAGTATGCAGAGCTGGCCCACAGCCCATAGGACAGACTTGTTTTGCCTTGTGTGAAAACAGCAAGGAACTCCCGTTCTCAGGGTTTGTTCCCCTGTTATGTAATACAGCTAGAAGTTAAGTTCTCCTAAAGAAGACAGCGTGTCTGTCTTTTCTTCGTGACCATTAATCAGCCTCAGGAGGGATCAAGCCAAGGTTGTGCATGGATGGGGTGACACAGCTGAAGGCTAAGCTCTCTCTAGAATGAGGGAGGGGAGCAGGAAGGGGTTAACAAGACATGCAGAAGGCAGGCCAGTCTGTGGGCTGATCTCAGTAATGTAAGCAACAATAAAATGTGCATACTTGGAAAGACCCAATGACAGACAGTATGACATATGGTGATTATTCATTTGCTATACACACTGCTGATTTTGCATATCTATATGGCTACAATAGAAAACCCTCCCTTCGTCTGAGGATTTTGAGAATTCAGGTGTAGGACACATGACTCCAGAATGTTGCTGTCTTGTAAACACACATAAAAAGGCTTTTTTTTCCTTGAAATTCAATTCAGTATTTTGCACTGCAGAAATATACAGACATCTCAAGGAGCTACCTTTTCTCCACTGATCTAAAAGAATTCATTTCGTATATAGCTGTTCTGCCTGTATCTATATGAAAATAAGCAACGATAATGGGATATTTATTATTATTGCTACTGTGCTTAAATACTTTAGTAAAGATTTAAGCTCTAAGGAGAGGCTAGTTGTTACACATTTATGTAATATATGTAACATACGTATACTAATTCAGATCTTAACTGGCCCATCTATCACTCCAATGGGAACTGTGAAGATGCAAGCCTCCCATCTTATATTCACCAGACTGCACCCATTACTGGATACGAGAGTGAGATCTCTTGTGATACTGTAAGTATTTCGTAAAGCACTAAAGCCAGAAGTCAAGTGAAAAGGAGAACAACTGTTATTTAAAATCAAGACACAACTTTGTAGTCCTCGGGTAGAATGGAGAAGAATGGAAAATATGATCTAAGTATGTCTAAAAGGCTTAAAATGCGAAGAGATAAAACTCAAAATTTATTAGTTGCTCTTTTTAATCTCATGATTCATGACTTTTGTGGATGTGAATCATAACTTCTGGATGCTGGAAATAGGATACACGACCCTGTAGGTCTCTTCCCTCTTCCCTCCATTCCCCATCCTTGGATAGGCTGTGCTCTGCAGGTTCTTGATGGAAGCAGCCTTTGCCTTTAAGGTTGAAAGAATATATTCAAGTTCCGTCATGCTGGTTTGCTCCTTCTTTATCTACTCATATAAAAATCAGATTTACTCTCTCACAGACAGCAAAATGAAAGAGTAGGCCTTTTTCCCCCTCAAACCAAAAGGGGGAAAAAAATAGGACTGCTGAGAATTTCCAGTGGTTACCCAGGAAATATATGAGCCAGTAAAAAAAACCTCCAAACCTGAGAAGAGTTCAAGTTATTCTTGGCTTGCCTAGCTCAGGCATTTCTTTCTTGGCAGCAATTAATAAGTAGCGATTAATGTTTTCTACAACATTGCTAATGCAAGTGCTATAAATAATGTAGTTTATAAAGAGATAAACAGCCATATTAATGACCTCCAGCTATTTGTGCAGTACTGTAAATATTTTAGCTTGTTATTTTACAAAAGAGAGATCACACTTTCTTTTTTTTTTTTTTTTTTTAAGAATGAGGTGAATTTTTTTTTGCACTGAATGTTCTCACATCTTTATTGCAAACACAAGCCCCTGCTCAACATCAGTTATACCAGAGATACAAATATTTAGGCCAGGAGAGCAGATGGCCCTGCAGCTGCAGGTCATAAAGTTCTTGCATGTTTTTGAAAAGTAAACACTTTCAAGTCTATAAACTTTATGCTCTGGGTAGTTCTTGAATTTGAACTATCCCAATAGCTCAAAAAAAAAAAAAAAAAAACCAAAAGAAATGTCGCATTGCTTGTTTCAGTGTAAAATGAACCTTGGGTTTACCTGCATGCCACAAATGGGGTCTTCACAAAGGTAGACGCCTGGGGACTGACCATCTTGCAGGCTGCCTGTAGCCACTTCTGACAACAGGTCTCTCAGATTTTCTTCTTTCCCCCACACTTCCACTGCAGAAATTCGGACCGAGAAGCGGGCTCCTGTCTTCTCTTTGCGTTCATTAATCAACTTGAAGAGCCAGGAGATGGCACAAGGGATTATGCCGAGGTTTTGCATGGAATCATCCTTTCCAATCATGGTGTATGACTTCCCTGTCAGGAATGGGGGATGGCGAAAAGATAACAACATCACTCCCAGGACCCTCACGGCCTTCTGCCAAGAGAGATTGTCCTGCACAGCCTCATGAAAACAACTTCTTCACTACAATAAGGTCAGTCAGCAAGGCAGAAAGATAGGCAGGCAGACAAATAGTACATGGAAAACAGCATTTCAAAACAACAGATTAAATCTTGAGCTGCTTTCAAAAATCACTACCTCGTGCATTCACCTGACATCCCCCATTCCCCCAGCAGGGTGCTGCAGGTCTCTGCCACACAACACTGCAGCCTCTGATGTGAGTGAATAGCGGGGGGAAATGAGCAGAGCAGGAGAGCAGGAGTGCCATGGTCTCTAAAAATCCCTGCTTTAGTTACTGTGAGTGTGGTATTCTTTGAATACCATTTCTTTTTACTTCAAAGCACTACATTACTCTTCATATGTTGGCATTGGGATTGACATAAATCTGGTTTGAGGATCATACAGATGTAACCTCATCCAGACAAAAAAAAAAAAACAAAACAAAAAAAAACGCCCACCAAAATGGGTACACATGGTCATTTGGTGCAGAAGTGGGTCTACAACAAGAAATATTTTATCTGAGTCAAAACCTTGCCCTGGTTTGCTATTATTTGACTCTGCAGTTATAGCTCTGCCTTACTTCTGCTGTAAAAGTTTGCTGATTAAGAACAGACACAGAGTACATCTTATATTGCTTCAGGTATCACTACATATAATGCTTTTTAAAAAGTTTTCTAAAGCTCCCAAATTTATAAGCCAAATGAAAAAGGTATATGTCCTTTCAGACAAGTACTTGTGGCTTCTTTATTTTGTTACATTTCTTATGTTGAGTCTATGTGGAAAAAGACCAGTGAAGAAAATATTTCTATGCACATGTCTGTGGCAACGTCTGGGTGTGTGGGAATGGTGGTGGTGCAGTTAACAAACCAACCTCAGAGACTCAACTCGTGCTGCAGCAAAGCCCTAGCTAGGCCACCTCTCTAAAGAACACATAGCACTTTTGGGACACAGTTATCTGGTGGCTTTCTTTTCCGTCTCCTTTACCATCTTGTGTTTGGCAGGTCACAGGAGGTTAAATATCCAAGTGCTTGTCCTAGTGTTAACTGCTGCCTGGCCCAGAAGGACCTTGTGGTTAGTTTGAACAGTGGCCCTGCCCCATTCATTGTATCAGAGCTGGTGGCATTGCAGCATTCAGTACTCTCCAATTTTTGTTGCCTATAATTTGGGATAATCATGGCCTGATACAGCCTGATCTTCCTTATCACTTGAAAAACTGAATCATCCTTTTAAGTCACATGTGTATATCTATGTCTCTTTGAGACAGTAAAGAATGGAGATCATTGCACACATACAACACAACCTTCTTCATTAAAGAGGCAGTATTTTCAAAATACTATAAGCATGAAAAAAATATATGATTACTCTTCAAATCTGGTTATTTCAAAAGAATAGTGTGTTAATGATAGTGATTCTCTTTTTAATAGTCTTTCCATGAATACCTGAAATGCTGTTGATTTGTTTGCAAAGAACAAGTTTTGACCCATTGGTAACATTCAGTTAACCGTTAGAATAGGATTTGTTGGAGACAGAGTAAGAAGAGGTTAGTAATGAGTGAATTGTCTAATCAGGGAATAGAATATAAATCAAACTATTTGAGCACCCAGTCACAGTACTTGAATAGCGCCATCATAAGCATCAAGTGCTTGAGTGGATACTCACAGCCTTTACACACCTTGATAAAAGTGGTATTTTGGCAAACAACCTCCAATACCAAGCACATTTCTAAAACTGTAGATCACTGTTGGATCATTCATTAACAATTGAAGAAAGTGATAAAAATTGCTATAGGACTCAGGGGATGGAAGGAAGCAACAACTCAAAGATAACTTCTGTTTCAAAGAGCATGCTGTCCAATATTTAGACAAAATGCAAAGTGAATAGATGTGTAAGCAAGAGGTGAAGGTGTAGTACAAGGTCACGCACAGTGTACCACTTTCAAACACAATTACTATGCACAGACAAACAAAAGGTTTTTTCCCTAATCTAATGTAATGGCATGGGTTAAAAATGTTGACTTTGCTGCTTGAGTAGGGAAATTGTACAATACCAACCAAGCTTGGCATGACCAAAGCAGAACACACAGCCATCTGCCCCATTGACCACAGACTGGATCACCTCAGCCACAGTCCCAGCACATACTTCAGCCTGTTACAGGTATTTAAAAAAAGAAGGAAAAAAAAAAAAAGAAAGAAAAGAAAATCATTAACAATAAGGAAAATCAACAGAGTATATTTCCACTAGAAAGTGGCCGTAATGTCATCAGTGCTCTAGATAGTATATTGAAGTGTCAAAACCCCTGATTCTACTTGTCTCATTCATGTGACCTGTGTTGCTGATGGGAATGACATTACTTGTGGAAGCACATGAAGCAGGACTTCTGCTCTATGTCAAGTAAGTTTCATATACACATACTGTAAGGGGATGTGGTTGGTTTGTTAGAATGGCCTATTTAGGGGACTCTAAAAATGCATTCTTCGTTAAAAAACAATCAATTACTGAGGAATTTTTACAGGCTCCATTTGCCCAATTATGGACAGAGTTCAATTCCACTAGCAGGTGGGCAAGGAATGTGAGGGGAACAAACAGCCTCTTTGCTATTAGCTAGGTGACATTTCTTAATTTTTCTCTACATTTTTATGAATCATCTTAGCTTCTTGCAGCAGCAGGCTCCATCCTGAAGACTGTAGCAGTATTTTAAAAAGTACAAGACACGCATTTACCCTGGGCCTTCTTAGATTCAAGGTTCAAGCAGGCTGACTGGTCTACAGTGCTTCTTCTCCAGCAACTGCCTATCAATAGCGGGTGAAACTAAATCAGAATTTGCAGGTTAGCCTTTTATCTGAAGCACTGAAGCACTTCACATTTCATAATAAATCATGTAAATTCACTTAGTGCATGGGTATAGACTACCTCTATAATCATGAATAAAATGGGCCAAAAAAGAGGACTGTTCACAGGCCAGCCCCTGAACTGCATCCAGGGAGTTGTTAGCCAGAATTAGGCCAGGGATTGACCTAATGATACAATCACACATCAGTGCTTTAGCTGGCCCTGTGTCCTTGCTCTGGTTAGTTTATAAGCACAGAAGCAGCCTTACAGTACTGTTTTATAATTATACTTCGCAAAGTTACTTTACTGTTCTACCATCCTCCTCATGACGTTTGGATAACATAGTTCAGCAAAACAAGGTCATCTAATAAAAATAATATATACATATAAATTAAGATTTGTGGACTAAAATCTCCATCCCCCTATTATGAACTGTACAATAGAACACTGTATAAGTAATCTTTGACTTCCTAATGGATAGAGGACTGCATTAGAGAACTGCAGTTCTGATCAGATCTCTGTATACACCAAATAATAAAACTTCATAATACACAATAACTTGTTGATATTGAGGGTTTGCCTACTAGGCACCACTTAGCACATTTATTGCACTCATAAATTTAGGAGAAATTATTTACTGTAAAGAACAAAGAAAGCACACAACTACTGAGATATAGTTCAATAAACTGGTTTCATTACCTATGACACTGGCGGACCAAATTCAGCCCCGTTCTAACTCCATTGAAAGAACAACTGTTGCAAGCAGAAATTAATTTGTCTGTGCTGCATGTATTGTTTAGATTACTATTCTGATTATACATTGCCTACCTGTGATGCATCTTGGGGGAAAACTGCATCAAAAGCAAACATCTTCGGGGGAACCTGGTTGCCCCTTTTTTGGAAAGCATTCTGACCTCCACAGACCAATGGGTCATACAGCATGATTTGCTTCTTACGGGGGTCAACTTTTAAGAAAGAGCTGGACTCAGATGTGTCTCTGGAAAGCGTGGAAGAAATGCGCACCATAACTTTGACCTGTCAACAAACACACAAAAAAACGATTGCATTTGATTAGTCTGTTGGATGTTCTAGACTGGTATGTTGAATGAACTTTCCGACTACACTCAGCCAAATCATAGCTCTCTGTAGCTAGTGTCTCAGTGGAAGTCAGTGAAGACACAAGAATTATTATAGGCAGAATTTGGCCTAAAATACACAGTGAGTAAAGCCAGAGCTCATCTCCATCTACTTCAACGAGAAACTTGTTATTTAGAATTATGAGGTACATCATGGTGTTTTACTGTCGATGTTACTCAAGTACAATGATGAGGTATTACATATCCTTGTCTTCCTCTCAATATAAATTGAAAATTAACTATACACCAGCGGCCCAATTAAGAAAGCTGAAAGGTAATCTAGACTGCTAAGCTATCAGAACCACTGTGGTTTCTATGAAGCAGTCTGATCAATAAAAGCACATAAAAGCCAGATCTGTAATTTACACCTTTCTGATTCTAATCCAAATGCAAAAAGATGAAGTGCTCAGTTCTATGTATCACCATCAAAGAGTTGTGAAAAGAGCCTTGTTTTAATGGTCAGATTTTGAAATTATCATTAAGGGAGTGGAATGTAATAAGTGATAAAAGATTTGTTAAAACATGTTAGCTCACAACTCATTAAATGGCTACATAATAAGGTGTTATTCCTAAAATAAAAATACATCTTCATGGATCTAATGAGGTTATACTGCATCCTCAGACCAGTTGGTAACCAGTTCAGATGTAAGTAAAACTGATCACAATCGATCTGACTTTGCTCTCCTCATAAATTCATCACCTGCAGACACATGATTTCCTGAACTTTACAGGGCAAACAACACCTCTCTGCCAGCTCTAGCCACACCCGCACATACTTTGTCCTAGAGCAGACTGACTTTCACACCAACCAGAACTCTTACCTTAAAGCTCCTTAATTATATGTCACTTGTATCAAACCCACCTACAGTTGGCATGCAAATGACAAAGGGTCACCTCAGCACAGGGTGGGAGCATATCTGCTGTTGGAATGACAGATGCACGCTGGGATGAGTTTGTAGGCCTAAAAGTTAGACAAGGCTGCAGTCCTTGTCGGCCTCACTGAAACTGGTGCTCTTAGTATGTGGATCTAATTTCATGCTGGCTGAAAATAATTCAGCTGCTTTGAGAGGTAAAATCTGGGAAAATTAATTTTTGACACAACTCCTTTGAATACAATGGAATGAGATCAGAGATTAATTGGGATTATTCAGTATTTTTGTGATGGCTTCTCCAAATGTCTGTGAGTCAAATTGTGTCCTGGTTTGGGCTAAGCCAGAACTAATTCTATTTTAGTGCTTTAACATTTCAGCTAAGTCTCTTCTAAGTAACGGCACTTTCTGAAATCAACAGCATGTTTTTCCAGACAGTGACTGTTTCTAGCAGTGATAAGGCCTGATGTTTATAGTTAGTACTAAGGAATGGTGTGCAGAGAGGCCCTTGCTCATACTTGCTCTTATAGCAACCAAGGTCACTGCTAAATCTTGTACCCCATGTTGGGGTGCCGGGAGTGAAAAGGGTCGCAAGCACGAAAAAGGTCACACCTGCAGGGAGGAGCGAACCAGACAGGCGACCCAAACCTGACCAAAAGAGTATTCCATCCCATACACGTCATATTCAGTATGAAGCTAAGGGATCTCTCTCTCTTCTTCAATGGCCAACATCTGTTCTTCTGTTGTCGATCCCGATCCGTGCACCCCTGAATCCAGTGCCTGAGTCCAGCTCCTGCATCCCGTCCCTGTCTGCTGCCGAGTCCAGCCTGGGACTGCCCCAGTGCCAGCCCTGAAGTGTCAGTGGTGACGTATCGTCATCAGGGTGGGTGGGGGGAGTTGGGTTTGGTATTGGTTTTGTATCTATTTGTACATATTGTATATATTTCCTTATTTCCTTATTCTTATTATTATCTTTTATTTTATTGTTATTGTTTCATTAAAGCCGTTTTAGTTTTCTTTTCCTAACCATAAAGTCTCTCTCCCTTGTTCTCTCTCCTTTTCCCTTTTGGGAGGGGAGAGGCATTAATAGAGAGTGTTTGTCATCCGTTAGTGGCCAGCCCAGCCTCAACACGTGACAAAGTGGTAATTTGACTCCACGTATTTTAACCTGGGAAAACAAGATGTCATTAGATGGCAAAATGGTCACAAATCTGTGCACAGGATTTCAGTTTTAC